CCCCCCCCCCCCAGTTGCGCAGCGTTGTAGCCCCGCGTCCTCCACCCACTGGTCGGAGTCGACACCAGCGCGCCAGTTGCCGAAGAGCCCAACCAGCCCTCCTTCTGGGCGGGCGCGACTGGTTGAAGGCGCCCATCATCCTCACCACTCTTCCTCCTCCTCCTTCTCCTCCTCCTCCTCATTCTCCTCCTCCTCATGCTGCCCCTGTCCTCCTCCTCCTGCTGCTGCTGCATCTCCTCCTCCTCATCATCATCCTCCTCCTCACCTGCATCATCATCTTCATGCTCATCCTTCTCATCCCCCTCCCCCATCCTCCTCCTCCTCCTCCTTCTCCCCCTGCCCCCCCCCTCCTCCTTTTCCTCCTCCTCCTCCTCCTCCTGCCCCCTTCCAATTCCCCCCCACGTCGTCGTCCCCCTTCTCATCCGTCGCCTCCTCCCCCTCCTCCCCCCCGCAGCCCCCCCCCCCCATCTGCATCCCCTGCTCCCCCCCCCTTCTCGCCCCTCTCCCGCCCCCCCCCCCCCCCCCCCCCCCCCACCCCCCCCCCCCCACCCACACCCCCCCCATCCCCCCCCACCATCATTCATATTCCTCCCTATTTTCCCTCCCTCCTCCTATCATCATGCCTTCTCCTCCCCTCCTCTCCCCCCCCTCCCCCCACCCTCCTCCTCCGCCCCCCCATCCCCCCCCACCGGGCCCTTCATCCTCTCCTGACCCACTGGTCCATCCCCCTCCTCTCCTCCTCCTTCCTTCTCCCTCCTCTTTCCTCCTCCTTCCTCCTCCCCCCCGCCCACCCATCGCCTGCGTTCCTGTCGCTTCGTTGCGCTACGCGCCAATCAATGCGAGCGCGCATGATGCCCCAGGCCCGGCGGGCGGCGGGGCGGCGGGGGTGCGCGGAGCGCCCGTGCTATCTTGTAGTGGATGCCACGGGTCGCGTTCCATGGGGCGACCATGAGCTCGTCCATCGAGCGGGCGTACCTGGGAACGCCCGCCCCCCCCCCCCGCCCCCCAGGGCAACAACTCAGCTGCCCTCCTGACTTCTTAGTTAGCCCCCCCATTGCAATGGCAACTATTCTCGCGTCTTGGCTGGGCCAGCCTGTCTTGGGCTGTCTTTGGGCCACGAGGCGGGGCTTTCCCTGGCGTTTCCGGCGATGTTCCTGGCACTGCACGTGTATGTGATGTGTGTGATGTGTGTGGTGTGCATGTCGAGGTAGTATGTGCATGATGTGCGCGTGTGTTTACACATGTGTCAGTGCGCGTATATGCATATGCTTCTGAGTTGTCGCAGGGACCCGCGCGTAACAACATCAGACGAACATATTATGTAAATGCCAACGTATGTATGTGAATACGTATATGTACACAAATATGTATATGCATGGGTGGTGAACATGTATATGATGCATACACTGCTGCCGCGTGCAAATACTGCATGTACTTCAGTCAGATATCAAATATGACTTGATCCTTTCTTCCTGCTCCTGCTCCTCTCTCTTCCTGGCCCCTCCTCCTGCTCCTCCTCCTCATTTAATTGAATATGCGCTTGCCTTGGACAAGCGCATCCCCCTGCCTGTGGATGATGCCCCCCATGGGGCCCGCCCTTTTTTTCTGTGTGTTCACACATTATAAGCCCCCTGGGGCCGCGAGGGATATAAGCCCACGCATCATGCATTTCACCAGCGCGGTGTTGCTGAAGCCCGCGGATGGGGAGTGCGAGAAGATGATTCTTCACGCGTCGTCTTGTTTGCCTTTGAACTCGGTGCTGTTTCTTGCCCCTAGCCTTCGGGCATAAAAAGCATGGTAGTCGTCTCATCGTCAGGGGGGGGCCCCTCTCGTCCCACCACCCCTTTCCTCCTCACTCCAGTGGGGGGAGCAGCAACAGCAGCAGCAGCAGCAGGCGGAGGTCGGCCAGACCACCCTCCACTGAGCCCTGCAGGCCCGAGACGCCGTCCCACCTCAAGCCTTCCTGTCCGCCCTGCCTGGCCCATCGCGGGAAGGGCACCCGCAGCGGTCGCCGCGGCTGCAGCGCATATTAGCCCCGCTGTAGCTGTTCCAATAGAACCTCATAGAAGTGAAACTTACCCCCGGCAGGGGGGGCGGGGCGGGGGCGGGATGATGGGCTCCGTCGTCGTCCGTCCCGCCCCCATCCCATCCCCCTGCCTGGGGAAATTTTCACCTCTGAACCGGCAGAGCTCCGTCTTCTGCATGTGAGCCATGGTGGAGGATGCCACCCCGCCTGCAGCTACCCCACCAAGCCTCGGGCAGGCTCAGGGGGGCTCGCGCCGGGGGCAGCTTTGTCGGCGCGCGCTGCACTGGAGGTGGTGGACGAGGAGATGGAGGAGGAGGAGGGAGAGGAGGAGGAGGAAGGAGGAGGAGGTTGAAGAGGAGGAGGAGGAAGGGAAGGGAACAGGGAGGAGCAGGGGGAGGAAGGAGAGGGAGGGGGATGGGGGAGGAGGCGGAGGAGAACGGGGAGGAGGAGGACGAGTAGGAGGAGGAGGATGGGGGAGGACGGAGGGAGGAGGGAGAGGAGGAAGAGGGGGAGGAAGGAGAGGAGGAGGAAAAGGGGGGGGGGAGGAGGAGGTGGAGGAAGAAGTGGAGGAGGTCGAGGATGGGGGGGTAGAAGGAAGAAGAGGAGCACTGTTCGGATCGTGATGCAGAGCAAAAAACAAATAATGAGGAACGCGATCCGGTGATCATGATGCTGTGGCGATGATGGCGATGGTGACGAAAAGAAGGCGATGCGGAAAGCAACGGCGGCCTGTCATGGTGGGGGCAACAGCGGTTGCAATAATGCTGATGCCGACGCAGCAAAGGATTATTAATCATTATGCGGCAGTGGCGATGAGGAAGAAGCAGGGGAGGAGGAAGGGGGAGGAGGAGGGGGGAGAGCTACGAGAGGTGGATGATTATTGTGATGATGATGGCGACGATAGCGATGAGTGGGGAGGGTGATGGCGATGGCGATGGCGATGGGTGCGATGACGATGGCGGTGACCAGGGGGAGGGGGGGGAGGAGGCGAGGAGGAGTCGGAGGAGTGGGAGGAGGAGGAGGCTGAGGAGGAGGGCGGTTGTGGGCGAGGAGCCCATGAATGTCGGAGTCTCTGCGAAGGTCGCGGCGGAGGGCGAGGGCTCCATGGATGGGCCAGGGCCCCATGGTCCAGGACGACCTGATGGGTTGCTTGGTATGTGGCGATGCCTGCTGTGGCGAGGGCCCTATGGACGGACGTGCCGTATGCTCGTGGGCTTGCCACCCACATAGCCCCCCCCTGGCGTCGTCGACCCCCCCCCCTTCGCAAATATTATAGCCCCCAACGAGATGCCCCCCCTTTCCGCCGCCGCCGCTGCACCCCTTACGCCCGCTGCTGCTGCTGCTGGTTGCATCTAGTGGCTCAAGCTGCTGGCCTGACGCACGCCAGGCGCTAACATACTGGGCGCTACAACTAGGCGCTAAACGATGTGCTGGGCGGGCTGCTGCCGCTGGAACTGCTGGTGGGGGGCTAATAATGCGAAGCGCATCAGCAACGACGAGGCTACTGCCATCACTTGGCAGTTCGCTGAAAGCCGCTGGGGCTGTGAGGATTCCTGGGTGGATGGCGCTTGGGTGGATTTCTGGGGCTACCACTCCAAGGCTACTGAGGCCGCCTACCAGTCCGGAGCTAAGTGGTTTCAGTTTCAGACCGACTACTACTTCGACCACGACGTCACCGTGGTTTTCGGCACAGGGGGCTACGACGGCGACGAGCATTACCAGTACTCTAGTAATGGGACCTACCGGCGCGTGCGCAGGGTGAAGATCCTCATGCAGTGAGTGAGGAGCGGGGCTACTAGGTACGTAGTAAGTCGCCAGCAGCAGCGCGGGGCTAGGATATGATGAGGAGGCGGGGCTAGATGAGGACGCAGTGCAGCAGCCCAGACAGAGCCCATGACAGACCTGGTTAGATGTCGAGAAGAAAAAAGAAGAGCGGAAGATATGGGAAGGAGGGGGAAGAAGGGGGTGTCGGGATGATGGTGGCGGTGATGATGATGATGACGACGAAGACGACGATGGCGAGGGGGGCGATGGGACTGTGTGAGGGAGAGCGCGAGTGTGGGCACCCATGGGCGAGGTGGAGGAGGAGGAGGGCCTAGGAGGGCGAGGGCGACTCTAGGGCGAGGAGGGCCTAGGAGGGCCCATGGGCGAGGTGGAGGAGGGCCTGGAGGAGGGCCTAGGAGGGCAGCACCACCTCTGGCGAGGACGACGCGCGAGGATTTTATTATCAGTTATGAACCTTAATTCCTGGGTGCCAGATGCTGGTGGGCTAGGTGCCAGATAGCGCGGTTAGACAATCGCCTCGGTCGACGGTTGGGTTCCGGTTCCTTTTTCGGTTCGGTTCCCCCTGGTTCGGTTTCGAATGAATTAGGTTCGGTCCGGTTCGGTTTGTGACTTTCGTTGTTTATGGCCGGTTCGGTCCGGTTTGGTCACGGTTATCGGTTCTCGGTTCGGCTCGAATGCGGCGGCCCGCCGCTGCTGCTGCTCTCCGCCGCCTGGGCGCCCACGCCTCCAGCCGCCCGCGGGAAAAAGGAGATCGCAGCGCTGGAGCTGGCGTGGCGTGGCAAGCGGAAGACGGCACAGAGCAAAGACAAGGCGGGCGCGGCTTCTTGACGTCGCTTCGATTCGGCGTCCTCCTCCTTGTCCTCCTCCTCGTCCTCCTCGTCCTCCTCCCCCTCCTCCTCCTCTTCCTCCTCCTTCCCCTCCTCCTCCTCTTCCTCCTCCTCCTCCTCCTCCTCGCCCTCCTCGTCCTCCTCCTGCCCCTCCTGTCGCTTCGGCCGGGTTCGAGCCCGCGGAAGCAGACCAGACCTCCGAAGACTGGCTTCTTGCCGAGCCACCGCTGCGGACCTCTCGACCCCCTCCTCGTGAACTGGGCCTCATTCCATGTCGGTCCCGGGGCGCCCGCAAGAAAGGCCCCAGATGCTAGAAATTCGGCGGAGTGACCTGTCGCCGGAGTGACCTTTTGGTGCCGGCCCACAGGGTTGCCCCGGTGCCCATGTGTGTTTTTCAATGGAAGTGTTTCCGTCGGCGTTGGCTCTCCTTTTGGCCAGGGAGAGTGCTGGTGCTCAAGTTCTGTTTCTGCATACCGTTGCGCCCCCAGGCTACGAAAACGGTCCGAGAGTTCTCCCGAATTGATTCGGAAGCCACCCTCTCTCTCTCGGGACGCTCCTGCCATATGCTCTGGAATCGCGCTCTCTCTTGGGACCTCCTCCAAACTTGCGTCGGCGCCGCGCTCTCGGCACTCAGGAATCGCGCTCTCGCCTCTGACTTCCTTTCAACTTGCTCAGGAATAACGCCGGGGCGGCCTCCTGTGACATGCTGGCGCAGGACTTTTACGAATTGTGCCCCCGCCCGGAACGCCGTCGAGTTCGAAGTGTGCCTCTCGTGTCTCCTTCACACTGGAACTTCCTCCTCCGTCACTGTTGCCATCGCGCCCGCCCGACCCGCCCGTCAGGGTCCGCCCGCCCGCCCCCGCCCGTCGGTGGGGCCCGCCCGCCCCACCTGCCCGGATTGGGCCCGCCCGCCCGCCCCGCCCTTTGGGGATCGGCCCGCCGGGCCCGTCCGACCCGCCCGCACGGATGTCCCGCCCGACCGCGCCGCTTGTGGGTGGGTTGGCCCGCACTCTTGTCAGGAGGGCAAAAACACACACAGACACAATTCATCGTCGCTTCCCAAGAAAACATGGGAAAAATATGGGAATTGGGGGGGGGAAGGCAAAAGCCCAGAAAATATATGGGGAAATATGGGGAATCTCCTTATTTGTGTGTGTTTATTTGTGTGTCCCAGGGCCCCTTCATCTTGCTTCCACGCCCGCCCGCCGCTCGATAAAGGTCCCGCTCGCCCGTCCCGCGCGCCGGGATCCGCCGGACCCGCCCGTCAGGGCCCGTCCGCCCAACCCGCCGCGGGTCTCACTTGGTGGAGATTAGCCGATTTGCCCACCCAGAGATCCAACGTATTGAAAAAATCAAGACGGAGGTTATTCGCAAAGTTCGGCCCCCAGGGGCCCTCGCCGGGCCTCGGGACCGTCAAAAACCGACTCAGGATGAAAATCCGGTCCTGGGGAATGGGTCGAGAGTTCTGGGGACCCCGTATTGAAAAAATCACGACATCGGATCTCAGGGCACGGGCTGGCGGCATGACCCCCTTCTTCCCCCCCCAGGAGGGGGTAGCGGAGAGGGCGGGCGTCGAGGAGTGCCACGCGGACAAAGGAAGAGAAAGCGGCATTGGGTTGAATGTTGCTGTTGGGCTATCACTTCTGGGAAGCAGTGAGAAGATGCTGTCCCTGCCTGGTATTGTGTTTTTTGATTTGAAGTGCTTTTTCCCAACCCCCGCACCGTTTTTGCTAAGAACAAGCCTTCAGGCTCAAACTGGACCCGCAGGCTCCTGGGCTCCCAGGCTACAACAACGGCTCCCGTGTTAGGTTTCCTCTTTCTTGCCACTGTGCTCAGGATTCGCGGTCGCGCTCGTCCGCGGCAATTGCCAACATAAATGGCCATGCCACTTCATTTGGCCAGCGCAGTTCGTCGTGGTGCTATTCAGGAAATGCTATCCACCAGCGCCTGTCTCGCTTGCGCGTTGAGTTGTTGGGAAATCCATAGCGTGCGCGGGTTGAGTTCCCACTGTCCCGTATGCTCTGTGTTTGGACGCTCTTCTGTCATTATCATTCCTCCTGTCTCCTGTCTCTACATGACATGAGGTCCCCACGGGTGCTGCCAGTGGTCCCCGCCTGCGTGTGCCGAGTGGCACAGCAGGGGGGGACCAATCCGACAATGGGCCGATCTCCGGTGAGGGGGCGGGCGAGGGACGGAAGGGGGAAAGACGGACGAGGGGCCCGCAAGGAAAGGGTGGGGGGGCACGAAAGGGCGACCGACCGCAGGAGGGGAGGAAGCGAAGAGGGAAGACTGCGGGTCGGCGGTGGCACGAGCCGCTCCGGCGGCGCGTGCTTCCTCCACCACAATCCTCACTAACCATTTCCCCGTCCTCCTCCTCGGACCCCTCACGACTGTCCCCAGGTCGCTGCTCGTGCGGTCCAGGTGTTCGTGAGATCCTCGTGGACGAACGGACCTGTTAGCACGATGCGGCCCAGCATGTTCTGGGCGACGTGGTTGTGCTCGTCGGCGTCTCGCGGATGTGGGTGTCGATGTCTCGTTGCGTTGTGGCCCAGGCCATTCACTTCGTCGCTGTGCACGCGGTGCTGCTGCTGGTCGCTGGGTGGGGCGTCTGGGGAGGGGCAGGGTGGAGCGCCATCGGGGTGCCGCTGTCCCCCGTCCCTGGTGTTGCTGCTCGTCCGTCGCCGTGGAGGGTCGGGAACAAGCAATCGTGCCAGGCCCAGAATCCAGCCGCGGGATGGTGCGTCGGGAAGGGAGTCGGGGAGGGCATGAGACATGGCGTCGGTGGGGCGTCGGGCATGACGTCGCGCGGGTGGTCGGCGAAGCGCACGCGTCGCAGTCGTGGTGTCTGTCGATGGGCGCGTAGGAGGGCTGGCTTCGGTGCTGTCGCAAGGGCTGCTGCGGGTGTCGATGCTGGCGTGGGTGCTGGCGTCGATGCTGGTGCTGGTGATGGCGTAGATGCTGGCTCGGGTGCTGGAGTCCGTGCCGTGTTGGGCGGTGGTGTCGATGCCGGTTTGTCTTCTTCTTCTTCTTCTTCTTCTTCCTCCTCCTCCTCCTCCTCCTCCTCCTCCTCCTCCTCTTCCTCCATCTCCTCCTCCCCCTCCTCATCCTCCTCTTCCTTCGGCTACCATGATCGCTCGGGAGTGGGATTATTTTCTGGGCTGCAGCCTAATGCTTGCCCGGCCAATTGTCTCGCCAGTTCGCTCTTTTGGCTCACGCTGCGACGCTTGCTGGAGTCACTATGGGCCTGTCCGCGTTTTGGGGAAAGGAAAAAATGCCTCACGAATCGCGCTCTCGCCCGGGATTTCCTCAGAAGTTATGTTAGAATCGCACTCCCGCTGGCATATTTAGTCACGATTCGCGCTCTCGCCATTCAGGGATGGCACTCTCGCTCAAGACCCTCCTTGTTAATTCTAGACGCTTCGCGTAACCCCACCAGCCCATCCAGAGACGATGCGCAGAGGATATTCCTCGATCAGGGAAGGGTCCCTCTTGGAGCGCTCTTGGGAGACTCTTGGGCACTCTTGGGGCCGTCTTGGGGCTCTCATGGGCCTCTTGGGAGCATTTTTGGCGCCTCTTGGGGCCTTCTGGGCGACTCTTGAGGCCCTCTTGGGGCGCTCTTGGGAGCCTCGGGAGCGCTCTTGCTGCCATCTTGGCGGAGATCGTTCGAAACTGGGGGAGCTCTAACTTCGACCCCCGCTCGGGAGCCTCCAAAATCGCCTCTTGGACCCTTCTTGGAGCGCTCTTGGGCGCTTTTGGGGCCGTCTTGGGGCTCTCTTGGGCCTCTCTTGGGGCTCTTAGGGCCCCCTTGGAGCCGTCGTGTGGCCTCGGAAGGCCATCGAAAGCAAAAAGGCGAGAAGGCCAAATTCATTGAGTTCCTGTGGTTGTTGAAGGATTTTGACATCTCGGCGGCCTCCTGAGGAGGTTCCACACTTGGAGCCGTCTTGGAGCTGTCTTGGGGCCTCTTGGAGCATCTTGGGAGCCATCTGGAGCCGTCTTGGGCCATCTTGAGCCATCTGGGAGGCCATCTTGGGCTCCCTGAGGCCCTCTTGGAGCCATGTTGGTCCATATTGGACGGTCCAACGCCTCGCGAACCCCTCCTCCAGGTCCAGGGTAGGGGGTAGGGGGAGGGGTCAAGCTACCCACCCGCCCGCAAGCTGTCTAGCTCACTCCCACCCGCCCTCCCAAACTATAAGTAACACCCGAGCCTGAGCATGTTCAGCGGACGTCTTTGGACGGACAGCGACTGGGAACCACGGCCGACCCCAGGTGCGCAACGCTTGGGCGAGGTGCTCCACGCGTGCCGGGGGCGCCACGCGCGCCAGGCTCCCCTGGGGCCCGAGCGTGCCAGGCACGCCCGGTGCGCCAGATGCGCCACGTGCTCCGAGTGCGCCAGGTGTGCCGCACACTCCAGCCGCGCCAGGTGCGCCATGTTCAGGGCACGTGCAGAGTGTGTCAGGTGCGCCTGCACACGTGACAGCACACATCGGGAAACATGCTGGCCCCCGCCATCCTCGTCGAAAACCAATGCCCATCATAATGTCTGGTGGGCCTGCGCGCAGCAGGCCACGCGCCACCACCCCCGCCGTCCCTGTCAAACCTTTTGACAGTGATCGCGGGATGGCCGCGCATGATCCACATTTAGCCGCGAGGTGCATGTTGTATTGTTTTTTGTCAGGGATGGTAGCCCTGCGCACGGCAGGGAATATGCTGGCACCCCCGCCGTCCTTGTCAAAAACAATACAAAGGTCTCGCGGGCTTCACGAGCATGACTCAAGACTTTGCCTCAAAGTGTACTTTGCATTGTTTTTTTGTCAGGGAAGGGCCGCATCGGGTTGGCCGCGCATGCTCCAACAGTGGAGGCAGAGTGCGGTTTGGGATGGTGGGGGGCGGGCCCTCATGGAGTCGGCATGGTTCCTGGTTGGATGCCGGCCGAGTGGGTGAGGGGGTGATTTAGTAATAAGGAACAGTGATCAAGGCACCCTC